GAGATACATATTCACCGCCTCTATCACTTCTGATCATTTTGATCCTTTTATTGAGTTGTGTCTCAACTTCATTTTTGTATTGTTTAAATGCAATAATAGCTTCATCTTTACTATTAAGCAAATAAACATAGCAATATCGTGTGCTATCATCAATAAAAGTTATAAAAAACTTTTTGCCACCGCGAGATGGTGATGATTTCATGTCACAAATATCTGTATGAATTAAGTCTAGAGGTTCACTACTTCTCTTAACTGATTTGAAAGAATGTTTAGTAAACTTAGATTCAACACAAACTTCACACTTTGATTGCTTACAATCAAATTTGGGCAACAATTCCAAATTGATCATTTTTCTCAAAGACTTGTAATTCACGTGTCCCAATCTAGTGTGCCATAGATTATTCGACTCGAGTAAGTAAGCGGAAGAATCATTCTTATTGCCATTCATGGTCATTACATTGAGTTTGAAAAGTCCCTCAGTGAGGTAACCTTTTCCAACATACATGTCATTCTTACTTATTACAAGCTTATCGGAAACAAAAACACATTTGAATCCGTGTTTCACCATAAGTGATGTCGACACTAAGTTCTTCCGAATCTCCGGTACATGAAGAACATTAGTGAGAGTCATTATCTTTCCGGAGGTCATCTTGAGGGCAACCTTTCCAGTCCCTTCAACCTTCGCAGTTGTGGAATTTCCCATGAATACAGTTTCTCCATCTTTTGCGGGAACATAAGATGAGAACATCCACTTATTGGCATACACATGGCGGGTAGCACCAGAATCCATCCACCACTCTTTTGGATTTCCAACCAAGTTAACTTCAGAGATCATGGCACACAAATCAATATCTTCCACTCCGGAAGCAATCTCCATGATGTTAACATTGTTTTTCTTCTTGGTCTTTGGACCACGACAATCCACAGCTCGGTGACCAAGCTTACCGCAGTTGTGGCAAGAACCCTTAAATTTTTTAATAAATTTATTCGGGATATTCTTTTGGTTAGCATAATTCTTTCTTTTCTTACCAACAGCATGTTCAATGACGTTTGCTCCTAAGACCGAGCTTGTCCCGCGAGCTTTCATTTCGGTCATCTTGTTGTCCTCTTCAATTCTCAGACGGACAATCAAGTCTTCAAGCGACATCTCTTTTCGCTTGTGTTTCAAGTAGTTCTTGAAGTCCCTCCACGAGGGTGGTAACTTCTCGATGAAGGCAGCTACTTGAAAAGCTTCATTGATCATCATACCTTCAGCAAGAAGATTCTGAACAATGACTTGCAGTTCTTGAACTTGGGTTGAGACTGGTTTATTGTCAACCATCTTGAATTCAAGAAACTTGGCGGCTATGAACTTCTTCATACCGGCATCTTCAGTTTTGTACTTCTTCTCGAGAGCCTCCCATAACTCTCGTGAAGTAGCAACAGTACAAAAGACATTATATAATGAGTCATCTAAACCACTCAAAATATAGTTCTTACACAGGAAGTCTGAGTGCTTCCAAGCCTCAATCACCACGAAGCGTTCCTTTTCCGGTACAGACTCTGCCGGTTTAGGAGCATCTTCCTTGATGTATCTTTGCAATGACAATGTTGTCAAATAAAAGAACATCTTTGCCTGCCACCTCTTGAAATCAACACCGAAAAACTTTGCCGGTTTTTCCGCAGGTGCTGGTGCAGGGGGAGTCACTGTGGGTACAACCACAGGCATAGCAGCAACATTTTCAGCCATTTTCTGAAAATCAGAATACCACGTTTTAGTATTACAACTAAAAATATCAGAATTTTAAAACCTTACGGTAATAATTTCTGAACTCGATTATTTAACCACGCGGTAATAATCTCAAAACCTCAATGAGGAAACCATAAAACTATTTAAGTGTTATTTAGATCGTTTCCAGGTAAGAGGGAGCCAACTCTATATATAGAGCGCATAATTATCCAACCTCTTTCCTTGGCAAAACTTTCTCACCGTCAACACTTAAATATTTTATCGGTTTTTTTTTTTTTTCGAAATTGAAAAACTTTACTTTGTCTCCCCGGGGACGAAAGTTCGTTTTTCCACCAATAACAGGACAATATATAATAACACAATACACAATAATTTCCTTAAGCTTGTTGGGTGTGTTATTTTATATGTCTCATATTCATGCATAGTTAACTTTCAATTTCATACCAAGACTGTCCAAGTTTAATAACTTTCAGAACATACGACCAAATCATCCATGTTATACACCATTAGAAAGATAATTTTGATATCTACGAAACGATATCAAGAACATGCAATTCCGATAACGGTATAGAAAGTTATGTTCAAACCAACATCATTATATCAATATGATTTTTGTTTTAAAACCGGAAAACCAAATCCGAACCCACGGCGAACCGTGTCTCCTTAAGGAAATTATTCCCCGTGCGGTACCTACGGTTAATGGAATATATCCTCCCAGGATAGGACGGACGTACCTCACCGGAACAGTGGTACTTCAAACTCCGGTGCCTTGTCGAACTCAAAGCTCGGTTTGAATCACAAAGGAAAAAAGATGATTTTCTTTCTTTTGTAGAAAGCTTTTGTGTTTTTCTTGATGTTCTTAAAAATGAAAACAAAGCCTCCTATTTATAGGATTGAAAAATTGTAAAACTCCCAAAAGTCATAAATATTTTTTAAGTTTTAGAATATAAATGTGGAGAATAACATATAAAAATATCTCCTTTCATTTAATTAAAAAAAACTCCAACAGCTTTGTGTTCATGGGTAGACAGAATATGCAGAGCAAAGAGAAGAACAATGTGTATGAGTTTATTATATAAAGAGCTATTATTTTTAATACCAAAAGGCTCAAAAAGGTGAAATATATATACAGTCGGGTTTATTGATTTTTGAAAAATTGATGAATAATTTTGAAATTAAATAAGAAAATATTTAATTTAAAACAATAAATTGGAGCTGAAGAATCTTCCCGGTAATTTTGTGTAGTGTGTGTGCTAAAAAGTTTCATGGATAGAGAGAATGAGAATGTGCAGAGCAAAATGAAGAACAATACAGTAGGGTAGACATTTCGATTCGGTTATTCAGAACGGAACCGAATCAAAAAAATGGTATTTTTTCCGATTCGAAACCGTTCTTAATTCTCGAATGGTATTATTTTTAGAGAACCGAATTTTCTGGAACCGAACTGAACGAACTTTAAAAAATCTCGAAAAATCTATATTTTTTTTCATAAAATCCAAAACTGAACCGATATAGAAACTGAATTAAACCGAATACAATATAAAAACCGATTGATACCAATTTTTGTAAAACCATAAAGATCAAATCGATATATTCCCGTACTGAACCCGAACTGTTTTCCGAAACGTCAATCAGAGTAGTGAGTTTATTACCTAAGAACTATTTTTTTTTTTTATATGAAGTGGCTAAAAAAGGTAAAATATGCACTTATTTATATATAATTGGGTTTACAGATTTATTACGACTTTTTTTTTTGCCAAAAATCAAAATAATCTGGTTTATATGTGAATTAGTGTAATTTTTGTCTTTTAGGAAAATTGAAACGAAGTTTGTATGTTTTTAAATGAAAAAAAAATGATGAATAATTTCGAAAATTAAATAAGAAAAAAATTAATTTAAAACAATAAATTGGAGCAGACAAATCCCACCTGGACCAAATATTCTAAAAAAATAAAAATAAAAATAAAATAAATTGGAGCAGAAGCTTCCTCCCGAAATCGTTTTCTGTGCTCTCTTCTTCTTCTTCTTCTTCTCCAAGTAGAATCCAAAATCCAAAATCCAAGCTTCTTCGAAATTTCAAAATACCATGAAAAAACTCCTATTTGACCGGAGAATGGTGATTTCTCTGCCCGTGTTCTGATCTTCCTCAAACCACCCTAAATACCTCAAGATCGATTGCTATATTCCGTCACTTCACGCATCGCGTGATTCGCCGGCGTCGTAGTCAACTGGGCTTTTTGGATTCGACGGTGAAATGGTGCTACCGTTGATGAAATTGGGTACTCTCGCTCTCAAAACCATAAGCAAGCCATTGGCGAGCCAGCTCAAGCACCAAGCCAAGGTTCATCCCCGGTTCCGACAGTTCATCGTCAACGTTGCTCAGGTTAAACGGAGCTTACCCTTTTCAAATCATCGCATCTTCTCTCTGTTTCTCTTCCTCAATCTCGATTCTATGCTTATAGGAGAGACATTTAGGTTTGATTCTGTAGAAATTAAGAGTGGAATGAACCTAGGAAGACTGAAAGCATTTGTGATGTTGAATTGGTATGTGTTGTTGAAACGGGGATCAGAGAAACCATCGGCTCACAACGCAAATTCAAAGAAGGATATATGGGCATGCGACTAATGAGGAGATTCGTCCATTGAACGAGGAAAAAGCTGTCCAGGCTGCTGCGGATCTCATCGGCGAGCTCTTTGTATTCGCGGTAATGCTTCTCTCTTCAACCTTCTCCTGCTAATCATGTCGCTTTAAAACCGAAACGAAACGAGTGGAAACGAATGAATTCATATGGTCGATCCCAAATAAACTTGGCATTAAGGCCATGCTGATGTTGATGTATGTTTTAGAGTTGTTGATGGTTTGGACATGGCTTTCAGGGTTCATGGTCTCATAATTTCTTGCGCTGTTTTTTTTTGGAAGGGTGTTGTTAACTTGACAAGTGAGATTCCAGCTTAGTTTCGGGCAGAAACCTTTTGAAAGTATCTCATAAGGGTAGTATGCAGCATGATATGGAAGTTCTTGTTCTTGTTTTCGTAAACATATTTCATATGACACCTTTGATGTGATTTTTCAGCTTTCTTCCTTGTGTTCCAGTCATTATGGATCTCATACTTCACATTTGTTGTCCAAATCCAGAATTTTACGTGTTTTAATCGTATGTCTGGAAGAGATCTTACTAAGCGATATGAACAGGTTGGTGGAGCTGTTGTGGTATTTGAGGTGCAGAGAAGTGCCCGGTCAGAAGCAAGGAAGGAGGAAGCACGCAAGAAAGAACTCGAGGTAAGCAAGAATACCCTTTTGGAGAACATCCATTCCGGTATGAAGGAGAAGGTGTTTTAGCCTTCTCAGACCTCCCAAGTCGAGAACTTTTTTTTCTCTCGGAAGAATTGATTCTTGTTCCATCATAACATGGGGGATTTGCCTTTGTGTATAGACGACATATTATAATGTGCATGAAAAAGAGAAAGAAAGGCCACAGGCATATGCTGTCGATTGAAGTATGTGGAAGTGGGTAGATTTATGGATCACTATCATATTGTGCTCCAAGAGGAAGTGATCTTGACTTCGTTAGCGATTCACTGTTTACGGGAATGGTCTTGGAAACGATTTCGCGGTTAGGAAGAACGAAGTGTGGTTCAGCCTCTATGAGATCAAACCAAAGAAACAGTTCTTGATTGATTCGGGATATGCATCTCTTTCTTTCTCTCTTGTTCCAGGAATTGAGGGCAAAAGATGAAGAGCTGCAGAAAGAAGTGGAACTCCTTAGGACCAAAATAGAGGAATTGGAAAAGCTTGCTGAATCACGGGGACTAAGCGGGATATTCCACTTGAAAAAATCCAACGCAGACAGCGGGAAATCAGGGGATGGGAAACCGACATGATCATCTGCCAATACCCACGAAAAAACCATCCTCGGATTGAGGGTAAAAAAAACATTAAGGTAACGATTCTTTAAAGGGCGGGGAGGGAAGTTTCTTTCTCGTTCTTGTTCATTCTTTAGATCCCGTTGTGTGTTCATGTATGTCATGTGATGAGGGAGGAGCATTCTTGAAATGTAATAAGCTGATGGAGTCAGAAGTTTGGAAATCTATCTGATGCTGCAGCTTTTTACTTGGTTTGGCTGAAGCATTTTTGCTTTGAAACCTCAAACCATACACACTATGGTTTACTAGGGGTGCAAAACATGCTGGCTCGGCTCGGCCCGGCGGCTGGGCCCCGGCCCAGTATGAGCCAGTCTGTTTTCAACCCAATTCATATGTGGTTCGTTCTTTATATCCTCCATTCAACTCGCGAGACGAATAAAAATAATTTTTTTTAAAAATAACAAACAATTTAAAAAATAATAATAAATTTAAAATTTTTAAAAATATTAAATATAATAAAATAATGATTGCTTTGGAAAAAAATTATTCTCGTCTTGCAGTCCAATTCGCGGGTCAGATGAACCGGTCTGTGACGAGTTTGGCTTGTGACGCGCTGGTTTACCGGATCCACTCTTTCTTCGGCCTCATACTTTTCCAATCCAATTCTATAAAAACGAACTGGCTCGTGGGTTAGGCTCGTTTGTCCATCCCTATGGTTTAGGGACAATGCAAAAAACCTTAGGACATGTTTTTGTCTTCAGAAATATGATTACAATTCATTACCTATGTCCTATGCATGTGTATTGGAATTGCTAACACTGCTATTTTTGGTAGTGGAAATTGAAAATGACCTTACTAGAAAGAAAGTCCACTTTTTGACTTTTTGTGTGTGTGTATACATATAGATACATATGTATTGGATTCCCAGAAATAATATATATGTATATAAATTTGTAGGTATATAATATTGGTACGTATACAAGATTAAAAAAAATGGTAGGGGTGGACAATTCGGTTCGGGAATCTGGTCCCGAACCGTACCGAACCGATTAATTCGGTTTCGATTCGATTCGGTATTATATAAAAATACCGAACGGTACGAAATTTGAAATACCGAATGGTTCGGAAACGGTTCGGGAAATACCGAACGGTATTTCGGTATTTTTATTTTTTTATAAAAAAATACTTAATATTAATAGTTAATTATGATATTTACTAATATTAAGAGTTTGTTTGCGCAATGCATTGAAATTAATGTTGAATTTTTTTCAAGTTGACAAGTTCAAAATTTTATTTTGTTGTATAAAATTATTATGTTGGATCTCTTTGCTTTTATATTATATGAATTATAAATATATCATGAACCGTTCCGAACCGTCCCGAACCGTTTTTATTTTGATTCTTATTTGGTACTTATTTATTAGTATCGTACCGTCCCGAACCGTCATAATACCGAACCGAATAATATACGGTACTAATTTGGTACAAATTTTATAATACCGAATAAACCGTTTCCGAACCGAACTGTTAAAATTCCAAATCGAATTCCGATACGCCCATCCCTAAAAAATGGTACACACATGAACTTTCATATTGTCCATGGGCTATTAAGATTCTTTGAACGGGACCATATTCCCTCATCGCCAATCTCTTTTAGATTTTATGCTGAAAAATAAATGGTTATAGAAACAAGTATTTTTCCCGACGTCAATTTTTGCCCATGAACGTATAGTTTCGTAATTATTTAATCAGAGATTTTTAAATGAGTTAAAAAAATTTAAAATAAAAACAATTAAAATATACTCAAAATTCATTATGATTTCACTGTTGTAAAATGTACAAACTATTGTAAAATCTATAAAAAGTTCTAAACTTGTATAAATTTTTACACTTTTGGTTCGATAAATTTATTTTCAAATTTACAAAATATATAATTATAATTTTCTAAAAATGTATCATTATAATTCTCAAAATGATTTTTGGATAAAAAACATTGAGATTTTTTTAGATATTAATTTACAAAATTGAAAATTGTAATGATATGTTTTACAAGTTTGGAAATAAATTTGTGAAACGAAAATTTAGAAATTAAGTTTACACCATTTTACCATAACTTTTTTTTTATTTTTTATAGCTTTTACCTTTCAAAAATCCACAATTCTTTTTTTTTTTACTTTTTATTCAACTCCTAATTTTGGTATGATCTGATTAGAGATAATTTTTTATAAATAGGATACCGATCTGTAGGGGTGAGCGTTTTAACCTATAACCGGGGGTTTTGAGGTACCCGGCTTAATAAGTATCCGAATAAAGGGTACCCGAATATTAACGATGATGAGATCGAGTATTAATAAGACTAATTAAGTTTTCGACCCCCGAGTCCAAGTGGGGGTTCAATTATTTTACAAGGGATACCCAAGAGTACCCGGTATATTTGTTAAAAATCTAAAATATACTTTATATTTATAATGTTTTTGTCTAAATTATTCTTATTATTTATTAAAATACTTTTATTTTAGTTCAATTTTTTTATGTTCTAAACCTTTCTATACAAAAATTTCACCATTTCAAATCTCATTCTATACAACCGAATCAATCATTCATCTCTCTCAAAATTTTACTCATCTCTCTTCATCGTGAACTTTTCTCTTTATGCTTTGACCTCTCTCATTTGTATTTTCTATATCTATCATTTTATAGTTCAAAATTTTATAAGTTGTATGGTCCGAGTACCCGCGAGTACAAGATCGGGAATCTCATTAAACCCGAGCTACAAGTATCCGGATTTTATAAAGCCAAGAATGAGATAATATTTTTGTAAAACCCGCGGTAATGAAGACGAGATAGGGTTTTCTAAAAATTGGGGGTACCAGACCCGTGCCCACTCCTACCGATCTGTAATCTCCGTCCATTTGTTCAGCTTTTTTATTATACCATTTAATAAGAGGGTATCTAAATTTAAAAAAGAAAAAAAAAACATGGGAGAGGAACAATGTAACAAAAATGATTTCTTCATTAATAGTTATCCATTATTTGTATATATATATATATACATATATATATATATATATATATATATAATATGTGAAATGAAATAGGCATCACAAGATGGGAATATGAAGGAGAGTAGTGGAAAAGTCTCTTTATTCCTTCCTTAGCCAACTCATCCTCTCTCTCCCCACATATTCTTATCGTTTCACATTTTTAACTCTTTATTCATTCCAATTTGCTCCAATTTTATTTATTTCCAACACTTTTTTTAAAAAAATCCCAATCGTTACAATTATTTCATCTTTATTGTATCTGAAATTCGGAATCCACAATGGGAATTTAGTATTCTGAAATTTAATATGAAGACACGTAACTTTATAAAATTCTTATATAACCCATTAATTCAGAGATTTTGTTCCATATGAATGGTGAAATCTATTCTTAACTTTTAATTGCTATTAATTAAGTATTGACTTGTTAAAAAAATACCCACCAAATTTTTTTTTTATAATAGGAAGATCGATATAAAAAAAATTCACAAATTGATATTAATTTTTACTATAGTCCAAATGCAAATTGACGATGAATAGGGATGTTTTACCAAATAATATTTAATATTAGCATCAATGTAAAAGGAAGAGTATCCTAAAAAAGCACCGTCATTATAGACACACACGCACGTGTGTGTATATATATATATAGATCATACATATTTATTTAGATAATCTATATTTTTTTTATTTAGAAATAGATATTTCGTACAGTAATTTAATAAAAAAATCAATAGATCTGATTGAACTCCAACATTTGGTTATTGACGAACTAAACGAACTGAGAACCAATTGTTTGATACAAACTTTTTATAACATATACGAAAAAAAACAATAATTATTTTAATATTATATTAAACAAGGCAATGGTAAAATAATAAATTTTTCATTTAACTCTTCATATAAAAATTTCAAAACAATGAAAAAAAATAAACGAAAGCTTTCCTTTTCAATTGATGAACACTAAAATTAAGGGATAAATAAAAAAACCCCTTCCACTTATTTTCCATTATTTGTGTGTGTAACATTTTAAAATATAACATCTGTATAAAATTTGTTATATAAAGATTGATATGTATAATATTTATATAAATTTTGAATATTACAACATGATATATTTAAATAAATATTATATTTTTATTTTAATTTTTAAAGTTGTATAATTTATACATATTTTCTATCAAATTTTATAGATTTTTATAAGAAATTTAAAATAAAATATTTTTAGAGAATTTAGATAGATAATGAATTTTTTAATTTTAATTAATATTTGATGATTTTTTTAATAACAAATTTAAAATAAAAATTTATTTTAAATAATTATTATAGTTGATGATTTTTTTGTTTAAAATTAATAGTTGATGGTTTTTTATAATGAATTTTAAGTCGAATATTTTTTTTTTGTGTAAGTAGTATATTTAAAGATTTTTTATGGGTTCAAAAATAATTAAAAACTTTTAAAATTTAGAGTTAAAAAATATCTTAAAATTTTACTTTCACTAATTTTATATTTCTTCCACTAGGGTGGACGTTTCGGAAAATGGTTCGGATTCAAAACGGGAATGAAGTGGTTCAGTTTTTTCGGTTTTACAAAAATAGGTACCAATCGGTTTTTATATTGTGTTCGGTTCGATTCGTTTCGGTATCGGTTCGGTTCGGTTCGGTTCTGGATTTTATTAAAAAAAGATAGATTTCTTTTAAAATATTCGGTTTTCGAAATTTTTTAAAGTTCGGTTCGGTTCGATTCGGTTCTGGAAAAATTCGGTTCTAAAAATAATACCATTCGGAAATGAGAACGATTTCGCGTTGAGAAAAATACTGTTTTTTCATTCGGTCCAGTCCAGTTCCGAAGAACCGAACCAAAACGCCCACCCCTACTAGTCACACACTTATTTTCCATGATTATCAAGTTGTGTTTTTTAATTTTCCGTGGAATATCGTATGTTCACTGATTATGAAATCTAATAGATATAATCTAAAATTCCAAAATAAAACCATAATTTCCAATGGAAACCGATAAATACCACAAAAATAAAAACATTATATTAGCGCTTTTATTTCGATAACGAAAGATCGGTTCTATTGTCATTTCACTGTACATTCTCTTATTTATTTCTCAGAATTTTAATTTTTCCTCATTCAAGGAAAAGGAGCCGAAAAATCGAAGGTGAGGGCAGAAGAAAAATTTTTCTGGTTTCAGAATATTTACCTTGCTTTTGCAGTTCTCTTTCTTCGTTCGATTGGAGAATTTTCTCGCGATTTCCCCGCCTTTCCCTGTACTCTGCTTTTGCAATTCTCTTGCAGTAAGATGTTTTCTCTGTTCTAATCTCTTTTCCTGATTTGGGTTGCTCGAAATTTCTCGTCTTTTGCTGTTCCCCTCGAGCTTTTCTCTTATGGCGAACTCGATCTGTTGGCGCTCGCTCTGTGTTTGAATCGAATTTCGTGTTCTCGAGCTGTTTGATCTTGTGGGTTCGTTGTAATAAACTCGAAGATCAAGAGAAACTGTTGATCTAGTAAAGTTTTCATGCTGTAACAGTTCTGATCCTAGCAGTGATTTCGATTTTTACTGTCTTGATGATCATCTAGCTCATGTTTAGATTCCATTTTCAGGCAAAAGGGTACCTGAGTTTTGCCCTCTCTCGGTAATTACCAGATCTTTTGGCGGATTCTGTCTTGTTGCTGATATTGTTAGTGTTTCAACCAAAGATTCCAATCCATTCTTGTTGGAACTTGTTAAGAACATAACTTGTCTGAAGCATTTGATTGATTTAGGTTTTGATTTGTTGTCTGAACAGAATCTGTGTGAGTGAGTTTGGTGGGGGAGGGAGTTTCATATGACAGGGAAGCGGACAAAGACCAGTTGCAGATCCGCTCCTCACAAACTGTTTAAGGATAAGGCCAAGAATCGAGTTGATGATTTGCAGGGAATGTTATTGGATCTTCAGCTCGCCCGGAAAGAGAGCCGTTCTTCCAATGTAACCCTCCTCGAGGAGCAGATTCATCAGATGCTTCGTGAATGGAAGGCCGAACTCAACGAGCCTTCTCCTGCTTCATCCTTGCAACAAGTAAAGTATCTATGAATGAATCCTATTTATTAGTTTCCTTCTCAAAAAACGGTTTTTTGCCTGTGATTCTTTGATTGATGGAAACAGTATGATCATAACTATAAGTGTATTGGATATGTATTCGTGCTCGGAAGGTGATGAGAATGTGAGTTTTGTGTTCGTTTCATTTGCAGGGCGGCACTCTTGGATCTTTCTCATCGGATATTTGTCGCCTGCTTCAGCTCTATGATGACGAAGACGATGCTACGAGCAAGTTAGCTGCTCCAAAGCCCGAGCCTCTGGACCCGGGTCTCGAGGTTGGAAATACCAATGTTTTCCAGGGGGTGAGTATGAGTATTACTCGTTCAGCTTTAGTCTGATCACGAATGATTATACACCGGTTATACCATTGCCACGGTGAATTCTGACAGGGATACGATCTGGCTCAGGGGAAGTCGGAACACGGGTTTCCGTTGGTTGATCATGGAAACGATTATGACGGAACAGCTCAGTTGGAATATCATCAGTATGATCTGATGCAACAAGGGTTTGAACAGAACTTCAATGGCGGTTTCAATGATTGTTTAGGGTTGGGTGGAGAGGATGCATTGAATATCTCTGCTCTCATGCCGACTTTCTGCCCTCCTCCCTCCGCATTCTTGGGCCCGAAATGTGCTCTCTGGGACTGTCCCAGGCCGGCTCTAGGGTTCGACTGGTTCCATGACTATTGCAGCAACTTTCACGCCGCTCTGGCCTTCAATGAAGGTCCACCCGGGATGAATCCCGTCGTCCGTCCTGGAGGGATCGGGTTGAAAGATGGTCTGCTTTTCTCAGCTCTTAGCGCGAAAGCCGAGGGGAAAGATGTCGGTATCCCCGAGTGTGAAGGAGCTGCAACTGCTAAATCTCCGTGGAATGCTCCCGGTAAGCTTTTGCTCGCAAGATTTTCTTGGAAATCTTTTCATTTGGGAATCAGGTTTCGTTTATTTTCATCAAAATGTCGTAATATGTAACTGCAGAGCTCTTCGATCTTACGGTTTTGGAGGGTGAGACCATAAGGGAATGGCTGTTCTTCGACAAACCGAGGAGGGCATTCGAGAGCGGAAACCGAAAGCAAAGATCCTTACCGGATTACAGCGGGCGTGGCTGGCACGAGTCACGGAAACAGATCATGAACGAGTTCGGAGGGCTGAAGAGATCTTACTACATGGATCCGCAGCCACTCCACCATTTCGAGTGGCATCTGTACGAGTACGAGATCAACAAATGCGAGGCTTGTGCCCTCTACCGTCTGGAACTGAAACTCGTCGACGGGAAGAAGAACTCGAAAGGGAAAGTATCGAGTGACTCGGTCGTGGCTGATCTGCAGAGACAGATGGGAAAGCTCACGGCCGAATTCCCGTCTGATAACAACAAACGATGCATCAAAATCCGACCCAAAGGTAACGGGAAATCACCCGACGGGAATGGATATTCTGCTCGGAACACGACAAACCCGACCGACGACAGCAAGTTCGGGTCTGGAGCAGGTGCGGAGTACAACAGTTACCTGGTCGGGAACTTAGGAGATTATTACATCAACTGACTGGAGAAAACCTCTGGTTGAATCAGTTGCTTTTACCCATTTATCTTGCAGAAGACGAAGATGAAGCTTGTGTATATATATAAGGAGGTGATGTGGCAGCCGCAAAACTATTCCTGAAGTGTGGGAACTTGTTCTTGTTCTTAGTTCTAACACAAAGCAGGATGAGACAGAATGTTATAAAAGATATCACATTGGATAACACATTTTTTTTCGGTTCTTATTTTTATGTATTTTGATGCATTTTTGGATTGTTCGAATCCATGAGGGATGCAGATTATGAAATTATGTAACCGAGAGAATAAGTTTTTTTATTTTATTTTATGAATTCCAGCATTGATACCATGATAAACCAAGCTATTTATGATATAAATCCATCATAAAAATAGGGTTGGCTGTCAAATTCGGTTATATATAATTAATTGGTTATAAACCAAATGACAACCGAACTATCCGAATTTGATATTAATTTGAATAAAATATAAAAATAATAAAAATAAATATTTATATAAAAAAACCGGAATTTAAATTAAAACTAGTATAAAAATTGAATGTATATAATTTTTTTAAACCAAAAAATATGAACCCAATTATAACCGAACGAAAACCCGAAATATACATCCAAATATAGAAATATCAATTATAGATAGAATAAAATATAATAAATTTTTATAATATATATTTAACACGGTTTAAAATTATAGAATTTGTTTAATAATGTGATGTGATATGGTAGGATATATATCATTTCTCATTTGTTATATTTAGTTAAAAAATACAATTTCAAAACACATGATTTGAAGCATATCTTACAAAAAATTTCAATGAAACCGCTTAACTAGATAATTATATATGTCTTGCACATATTCTTAGCACTTTGGAGTTAGAGTTTTCAAACGCTAAATTATAAAGGTATTGAAAAATGATTGGTTATACATATTTAATTCAATAATGAATAACATCTCAAAAAATATGTGTAGACTCATGCAAAATTGTATTTAACATTCCAAAAGAAAAAGGCTTTTGTTATCAAGGGCAATGTTTTGTTTATGCCATTGGGAGTATATAAAAGCAAATGATATTTTAGTCCAACCCAAGATTTCAGTGAACACTTAGCGTGATTGCAATTAACATTGATAAAATTAAATTTTATAAATATGAGAGATTAGTTTGGAGAAAAACGTGCCCTTATGGGAAATAGCATATGGCAAACGAAAACAAGAATAATCCCTAACATTCTCTCGAGTTTTGTTTTTTATTATCCAGAAATTTTCCGTACTTTTGATCCAACTACATTTTTTAGAAGACTGGAAAAATCCATATAAATACCCTCTCCAAAGAGATGTTCGCAATTGGATTGGAAAAAAAATTTACCCCACCGTTTACCAGTTGAGTAGCCTATTTTGGGTATATTCTCTCGAGTTTGTTGGTTTCACAAAATATATATAAATGTTATCAAATGATTAACTAACATTTTCAAGTATTTTTTTTTGTTCTGTTATGTTCTTTAAGGTTCTCTATTTGGATTACACAAAGCCAGGACAATAAACATAAAAGGCATTGGGATAAAAGGCATTGGGATTAAGGTGGTCCTGAGGAAATCAAGTGTTTGAGGTTTGGCATCGGTGCCAGCTTACTTAAAGACATTAAAATAATATTTTATTGTATTTTTTTGTTAATTTTGAGATTCTTGTTTCCACTGCTTTTGTGATTAGAAATATAGTTAATATTTATATGACCATAAGCTGATACAAAGGGACGTTGTTAGTTTCTAAGGCAAATTACCGATTTAGAATGGTAAAAAAAGGCTGAAGGTAAGTATAAATAAAGTTGGTTTCACAAAATAAAAATTAAATATCCAAAAGAAAATGCAAAAAATAATTTTACATAAATCAAAATCAAAATTCAAGGAAAATTATTGATTAATAATTCAAGAAGACAGACTGACAATAGAGGGCATTTGGTCTAGTGGTATGATTCTCGCTTTGGGTGCGAGAGGTCCCGAGTTCGATTCTCGGAATGCCCCTTCATTATTTTGAAAATCACGAATTTACCACACTTCATAAATTTGTTTTTTGGGCCTTGTTACCTTGTTAAATCTCGACTTCTTTCAACTTTGCTCCCACCCTCCCCCACCTCTTAGTCTGTGGAAATCTGTAAACACCAATACTCAGATATCCGAAACATAAGAACACAGAATGAGATCAGATACGCCCACCCCTAATAAAAGTCGAAACTTTCACATAAACATGAACCAAAAAGATGAAATCCAACCGCATTTAGCATTTTTAACAGAGCCAAACTTCAAAGTACAAGGGCGTGAGTATTTTCTCGTTGCTGGGCGGTTTTTCCGAGCAACAGGAAACAATATATCGTTCCCTGATACCTTCCAGCAAAAACAACTTCGGAAAACCTGAAACCAGCTTTCCAACGCACGGAACATAAGAAATGGACGATATCATGGGCGAGTTTCAAGTGAAAGGGCAGTCTTAAACTCAGGCATTTGGTCTACTTGTGTGGAGCGGATTTAACACCTTTCAATGCTCAAGAGCTGAAAGTTCAATTGGTGTGTGCCCAGAAAAACAGAATCCCAGCAAGGATTCTAACATTTTTCGGACGATAGTCTCGAACAGAAGATCAACGGAGAGTGGGACTTACGATAGTGTTGTCCTGTCTGATTCTCAAGGATTGAGCTGCAGCTATTTGATAAAAAGATCCCCTGAAATTTTCCAGACAAAAATAAGACCGGAAAGCTGGATATCCTTTTCAAGAACGTATTCACAATTCGGCATTTGGTCTAGTGGTATCAAATTTTCCAGAATAAAATAACAATTATCATCAACGCAAACAGAGTTTTTTTTTCTCTTACTCTTGAACTGAACATAAACAATTGGGCATTTGGTCTAGTGGTATGATAATAAGGTTTAGGCCTAACTCCACCACAAACTAGCTTAAGAGTGGAGGTTTGACCCTTCCTTATATATTAGCCCCAAATCCCTCTCTTTTTCCGATGTGGGACACTTATCAATACCGCCCCCTTTAGACAGGGACGTCCACGGCGCTGGAGCAAATCTGGTCGTTGGCAGCTTCTCGGTCCATCTCCGACCGTTCTTCTCCCGATCGTCTCACAGGCACCGTGTCGACCGCATGTCTGCAGGAGAACGGCCCGTCAAAGGCCCACCGGAAAATAGAGAGTTAGGCTCTGATACCAATTAATAAGGTTTAGGTTCTAACTCCACCACAAAAGCTAGTTTAAGAGTGGAGGTTTGACCCTTCTTTATATATTGGCCCCAAATTCCTCTATTTTTCCGATGTAGGACACTTATCATATGATTCTCGCTTTGGGTGCGAGAGGTTCAGAGTTCGATTCTCGGAATGTCCCCTTGACTTTTTCCAAAGGTCTATGTCCTAAACAACAACAACAACAACATCACCTTTATTTGGGGTAGGCAACATGAATTATTCGTTTCCACTCTGCAATCGTTTCTGAGGCCAAAACCACACTTCTTCTATCAATCACTAAGACTGATCGAATAAGCTTGATTTTGAACGTCGTTATGTCCTAAAAGACAGATAGAAATTATTTGATATAAACTCTTGTCCTTTCTATGAACTTCAACAACTGAAGAACACATACTCTCCTCAAGTTTCACAAAAGAAACTCATAAACCAAACTGGCAACCATCACAAGTTGTACATTAGGGCCAGTGGTTGACTATGCTTTTCAGTGTAAGAGGTCGCTAGTAAGAGTTTTTAATTATTATGTGCTGAAATTCAATTAAAAGAACGAGATCTGAGATTTACCTTATCGGCTGGTCCGATGAATTTTAATTAGCTGAATCAACAAAGCCCTTTCCCTAACAAAATCAGCAAGGAAAACATCATGATGAAGTCACTTACACCAATGGCTTTATTACCATAAACCATCACTAAGCAGGAACTTTCATTTCAAGAAATGATGAAAACCAAAAAGCATTTCCAGCATTTTACTGAAATTCATTAACAGCAGGGCATTTGGTCTCAGTGGTACGATTCTCAGCTTCAGGTACGGTTGAAATGCCACGTTGACATTTCTAAAAGCCAACCAAAAAACATAAGATAATGTGTCCTTTTTCAACTCCATCGTACAACAAGCAGCTTCAAGCAATTGGAAAACATGCCATATCAGGAAAGTTATACAGCAAGAGAAGATCAGAAACAAGAGAGGTAATTAACCAATGACACAAAAAATCTAAAACAGATTCAAACCAGTAAAATGTTCAGAAATCGGCCACTTACATCAGTCACACTTTGCATGATTCTCCAAGTTTGAACTGCAGCAACAGGAAGAAGATTCCGTGAAAATATCCGTCCAAATATCATCAGAAAGTAGAGATAGGCCTTTCAAGAACGTATTGAACAACATAATTTTCTTTTGCATGCAACTTGCTTCTTGATGGGGGCATTTGGTCTAGGGGTATAATTCTCAACTTTCGATGCGAGAGGACACCAGTTCAATTCTCGGAATATCACGGTGACTTTTTCTTCAAAGTCTATATTCGAAAGTCCAGATGAACTTACTGGGCAATAAGTATGACATTCTATTAGAATCTCGTATCGACCATATATGGGGAAAACTAAGTCTATACGATCATGGGCACCTTACCCCTAAGCTAGCTTTTGGGATGAGTTCTACGTATGAGCCTTAGAAAGAATCTAATTAGACCCATTATAGGGTGGGTTCTATCACATTCCCTACAAGATTTTCTTACCATTGACGTACACTCCCATCTTTCCCTTGACATTTCACATTTCCAGGAAGATAAAACTAGAAACCAGAGTAGGGCCTTTTTAGCACGACTCGATTAACTTGCAAAATAAACAACTAGACCTGAAAACAGCCCAGTAAAATTTTCACATTTTTTCTTCAAAAGTGGTCAAAGTAAACTACAAGAACAAGGTCTACGATGTACGTTAGCTTTTCAATCCAGCTACTTAGATTTTATTTTATCAGGAAAACAACTTCGCATAACAAATGTAACAAGAAATTAGATAGAAGGAACTTACACTAGCTCTATGTTGCCAGATTCCCCAAAAAAGAGCTGCAGCCATAAGAAAACGATCACATGAATTTCCAACTAAAAAAAGAATTAAATCAACAATTCGATTTTCAAGAACTGATTGAACAAAAAAAAGCATAGTCCTTCAGCTGAATTACATGAATGGTCTAGTGTTGCGATTCTCGCTATGGATGTGAGTTCGATTCTCGTAATGCCCCTGAACATTTTGGTTAAAAGTCAAAGTGCTAAAAAGTAAACTGAAGTTTGTAAGGTACAAGACATAGCTTTTTAAGCACGTTTTTTCACTAAAGAGGTTCAACAATTGCAAGGCATAAGAGAAAAATCGAAACCATTGGCGTTTAGACTAAACGGCTGAAATCAAACCAGAAAGAGAGAAGGATGTGGACGTAGGATCTTACAGTGCTACTATTTTCCATCATTCTCCAAGAATGAACCGCAGCAACAGGAAAGAAATCATATGCACTGTCCGTCCAAATAACATGGAAGCAAGATTGGCCTTTCAAAGTCATATTTAGCTGCAAACATTGTCCTACTGCCTTTTAAACTGAATTACATCAGCAACCGGGCATTTGGTCTAGTGGTATGATTCTCGCTTTGGGTGCGAGAGGTCCCGAGTTCGATTCTCGGAATGCCCCTCTAAACTTTTTACATATTCAACATCACGAACCCAGAAAAAGATAGTTACTTGGAAATATGCAACTTATCCTTACACGTACGATCTGATAATATCTTTTCCCTACTAGACGGTTATTTGAAAGAATGGACATGGAATTGCACATAGATTTTCACCAAGACGACATTACAGAGCAAGAAAATGACATTTTCAAGAACTAGATAATCAACAAACAGCAATATCATTTGCATTCAAACTACGGTGACAGGACAACATGAGATTTGATCTACTGGTATGATTCCAAAAAATTTCCATCCAGAGACATAAGAATCCAGATATCAGCTTCCCAACAATTAAAAAATAAAAAATATAAACAACAAACAGCCATTTCCTTTAGCCAATCGATCTAATAGTATGATTCTTGCTTAGGATGCTACAGGTCACTGAGTTCAGATCTCAGAACAACACCATAAAATATTTCAATAATCAGTGTTAAAAGTCAACTAAAACACTAAGACACAAAGTGCAGCTGTATTTTCAGATCTAATGACTTATATTTACTGAACAAACAAACAAATTGCACATAGGAAATCCAAATTGTTACAAGACTCATGACATTTTACAGAACAAGAAGCAAGATCTCGGAACATCTGTTACGACTTCCACAAGTAATGCGGTGAAGAAAATCAAGTAGGAGAGCAAGATCTATAATGTACCACTGGTTCCATATTTGATTATTTAAATTTTGTGCACTAGAATAAATTCAATACACTAGCTGTAGGCCACCCAATTCACCAAACATGAGCTGCGCCAATAATAAAACGGTCATATAACTTAAAAAAACTAAGGCAGAACTTCGAATTTCAAGAACTGATTGAACTACACAAATGTGTTATAGCCAAACTATATCAGCAACAGGGCATTTGGTCTAGTGGTATGATTCTCGCTTAGGGTGCGAGAGGTCCCGAGTTCAATTCTCGGAATGCCCCTCGAAAACTTTTCTTTTCAATTAAATTTTTTTCCCCCAATAACTATATGCAGCATTCATGTATTTGAGAAACCTATAATAATACAAGTATGTCAGAAGCAAAAAAACAGATAGGAAAACTTGGAACGAGCTCTCAAAGATCAGACCTTGGATACCCTGTTAAGAGTTATTCAATATTTTAGATTTCAAAGTCAACAAAGAGAACAACATCTGAAAGGCAGCTTCCCTTTCATAAATCTGTATTGGTTTTCAAGAGAGGATTAACAGCAATCAGCATTTAACACTTCCACTGAGATGCATAAACAGATGGGCATTTGGTCTAGTGGTATGATTCTCGCTTTGGGTGCGAGAGGTCCCGAGTTCGATTCTCGGAATGCCGTTCACTTTTATGAAGTCTGTGCTCAAGAAGCCAGCTGAAAGTTATATCCTACAAAGTGTCATCTTTTCCCCTTGACCCTCCACCAATGAGCTTTTGCAAAGCAAAACACATTCCAGAGAGTGACAATTTAACCAAATTGGTGGCTTTCAACCAAACTTACATTTCAAAAAAACAAAAGGCAAGATCCCCCAGCATATTTACTGAAGGGCATCACAATTCAGGCATTTCATCAAGTGGTAAGCTTTCTAACTTCACATCTCGGAATACCCTGTTCAGACAGTCAACTACGAAACAATACAATGTACGATATCCTTCACATTAGAATTTAGATGGCATAATTTTGTTTAACCAGAAACCACCTCTCATGACATATTCAACTGTAAACTATCAGCTATCTATACTAGCTAAGCTGCTAGATTCCTCATGAATGAGCTGAAGCAATACGAGAAGGACCACACATAAATTTCCAGAGGGAAAAGCAAAGGAAGCAAAAATTGGCTTGTAACAAAAAGGATAGCTCAGCAAAAGAGTCGTCTGACTGAATTACATCAGCAACCGGGCATTTGGTCTAGTGGTATGATTCTCGCTTTGGGTGCGAGAGGTCCCGAGTTCGATTCTCGGAATGCCCCATAAACTTTTTACATATACAACATCATGAACCGGGAAAAAGAAAGGTACATAGAAATATGAAATACATCCTTTCACATACAATAAGATAATATGTTTTCCCTACAGAGGCTTATTGAAAGAATTGACAAGGACTTGTACATAGATTTTTACCAAAAGAGCATTACAGAGCAAGAAACAGGCATTTTCAAGAACTAGATAATCACCAAAGAGCATTCTAACTTATAATTAACAAACAGCCGTTTCCTTTGGTCATTCGATCTAATAGTATGATTCTTGCTTAGGATGCTACAGGTCACTCAGTTCAGATCTCAGAACACCATAATAAAATAACTCAATAATCAGTGTAAAAAGCCAACTAAAACAATAAGACACAAAATGCAGCTGTATTTACAGATCTAATGACTTGTATTTACTGAACAAAAAAAAAATTTGCACATAGGAAATCCAAATCAACTAGGAAGACACCAGTTAGCTGGCATTTGCACTAGTTGCCTTTGACCATTAAACACAGGAACAGTCTTTTTCAACAGAAAATGGCATTTGCTTTAATGATTTAAGTGTTAAATGAATTGCATCAACAGATGTGCATTTGGTCTAGCAGTATAATTCTCGCTTTGGAGCAAGAGGTTCAGAGTTCGATTCTTGGAATGCACCCTACAGATTTTCTACACCTCTTTGTCTTTTTCTTTTCTTTTCTTTTCTTTTTTTGGTCGAAACAAAATCTCTAGCACACAATTAGCAAGAGAACATAAAAAACCTAAAGGTGCAATATTCACCAATAATTCAAACAATTGAAACTGATGTTCATGGAGAAATATATTTAGAGAGCATGCACTTACAGTAAGGTACTTTTCCTGAATCTCCAAGAATGAGCTGCAGCACGTAGAACTATATCGCCTTTCCATTAACAGTATTAACCAACAATCTCAGCAAGAGTTCGAATTTCATGAACTGATTGAACAGCACACACATTGCTTTAGCCAAACTATACCACCAACAGGGCATTTGGTCTAGTGGTATGATTCTCGCTTTGGGTGCGAGAGGTCCCGAGTTCGATTCTCGGAATGCCCCGTTGATTTTTATGAAGTTTTTGTTCAACAAGCCAGCTGAAAGTTATGTCCTAGAACACTATTCATTTTTTCCTCTTGATCCTCCACTAATTAGCTTTTGCAAAGCACACATATTCCAGAGAGTGACAATTGAACCAAAATTGTGGCTTTCAACCAAACTTTCAGACATGTCAAACAGCAAAAGGAGAGATTCCCCAGCGTATTCTTATAGATTCTTCTTTCGTGGTACTATCATATTTACTGAAGGGCATCACAACTTAGGCCTTTCACAAATGGTAAGATCTGTAACTTCAGATCTCAGAATACCCTCTTCAGACAAAGTCAACTACGAAACAATACAATGTACAATTTCCTTGACATTAGATGGCAAAATTTTGTTTAACCAGAAAACACCTCTCATGACATATTCAATAGCAAACCATCAATTATGCATACTAGCTGTGCTGCCTGACCCTATGAATGAGCTGAAGCAAAACGAGGAGGACCGCACAGAAATTTCCAGA